CATATGTGGAGTATCTGTATGTCTTCATGCACACATGCAAACACAGTTTATGTCTCTAAAGAATGCAAGATATAGGAACTTACTTGTATAAATACGCTGCAATTCCAAGAATTATGCACAACAGAACAATATCAATACAGAAGTTTCGGCTGGACCTCAGCTGGAAAACAATCAGATTTTCTTAGATGAAATAAAAAGAAAGAAGATTGACCTAGGAAATGCTGAAAACAAAGGAAATCTGAACTTTACCAGCTTCATCAATTACCTGAGTCACAGTGTCTTTAAGTCTAACATTTGTATTCTGAAGATCTGCTGTCGCTTTGTCCACCTACAAACGTGCATAAAAGCAGCATATGAATAAGAAGGTCCAAGTGTTTTTTTGAAGTTGTACAGGGCAATGGAGATGTTACTGACCTTAGTATCAATTTCATCCATCATAGGAACTTGCCTATCCAATTCCTGCATGTATCGTGTCGAAAATGAACTAACATGTCTGTGAATTGCTAATGAACTAATACTTATTTTTTTTAATAAGCAAATGAACCAATACTTATACGACAGCTTTACCTCATTCATATCATGAGCCATGTTTTTCAGGGTATCCAGACCTTCTGAAATCATATCTAGACCTTGATCCTTTGATTAAAGATGTGCAAAAAAAAATCAGAGAAAAATGTACACTCAGTCAATAAGCACAGAAGCTTCCTTTCACAGAGAAAAAGAGCAGTAAACCATGTAATACTTGCCTGCTTCATTCTCCGCATTTCATACTCCTGCCTAAATTGACTGGACGATTCAGTTTGTTGAAAGTACTCATCATCAAATCGGCCATCTGTTCACACATAAAATAAGTACAAATTTAAAAATATATTATAACATTTTTATCAAAGTAGATCATAATGTGCATTGCTTAAAATTATAGAAATCATATAAGCAAATCAACTACGGATCACCATTCAAAACAATCTCAAACCATCCTTTCAATAATAACAAATCATAATGGCTATAAGATTAATTGACATCATATTGAACAATCAGGGTCCTGGGTTCTGGATCTAGGCATGGGGCCTTTTTGTGAGGGATATCTCTGGATATGATCATAGAGCCTGCTAGTATGAAATTCTGAAATAAGCAAGCTGCTTGCTTTCCGTTTTTTTCGGCCTTGATGACCAATGGTAAGGCTCATCTAAGAGAATCTCTGATTTTTTAGAGAGACTCTTTCGATTAATCTTTGATGCTTTTGTTCATGATAATATATGTATTTCTAAGGAAACTAATTAAATTAGACTCCTATTATAATTCTAGGAATCATAATCCCTCTTTTATTCTAATATCTCTTTTCACTTAGCTGAACAAGACAGTTATCCTCAATCTCAAGTGTGTTTTGATGAGTTTTCAAGCGGTCTCAAGGTTCAGCATCAATCTTACCAAATTAGAGAGTGTGAGAATGGGGGTTGAGAGAGATTCGCACAATTTACCTAGAGCATTGGACTGAAGGATTGTTAATTTGTCAATTAAGTACTTGGGACTACATTTGGAGCTAATTTTAAAGAAGCGAGGACGTACAATCTGATGGTGTCTAGGGTTGAGCAAAAGTTAACAGAATAGAAGAGAGCCTTCTCTCTGAAGGGGGGGGACTCACACTCAACAAAAGCACACAGGTAACTTACCCATATACTACAGGTCCCTCTTGATTATTTCAGTATGCGTGGCTAAAAAATTGGAAACTATCCAAAGCAGATTCTTATAGGGTGACTTGGATGGTAGAAGTATCATTTGGTGGCATGAAATGAGCTTAAGAAGCCATTATCTCATGTGAACCAGGACACCTGCGAGCATTTCCCAGACACCTGAGTGCAAGCCCGCGGGATCACTACCCACACACACAAAGTCATACGGGAAGAAGATATCCGCACACCCATGCACATACACGCAGCATGGGGGTCACGCGCGCACACAGCAGTGTGCCAAGACACCTACACACAGCAGGAGGATTCCCGCACCCATGGGAAGGGAGAAAATCCCTACAGGAATGAAGAATTTCACTACCGCAAGGCCTCCCGAATGGAAGATTCAAGATTGCATGAAGAAACCTGCCCAACTTTGATTCCTACACTGATCAAGTCCAAGAACAGCTCAAGATTTATCAAGAAAATGATTTGGAGATTTTGGAAGAAGGATCCAAATGCCTTTAGACCCAATCACAAGAAACCAGGCCAAGAATCTTCAACAAATCTTCAATATTTTGGTTCAAGACCGAGTAAGTGAAGAACTCAATTTGGAGGCCCAAGAAAGTGCCAAAAAGG